CGGGCCCCATATATCCCTTACCTACAGGCTATATCCGATATCCATCTATTCATATGGGGCCAATACTTATGTACACTACCTGAGTCATCCTTTAAAATTTTCATGAAAGCCAAATGATTTTGCTTAATTAAAAAAAATTAATTAAAATATTCAGTCTTCTTACGCTCCAGTGTCACGTGGTACGTGGTTACGGTAAACACGTGAATATCCCCCATAGGCTCGTACGTCAGATAAATTCTTGTTCTGGGAATGACGACGGTGACGAGGAGGCGGTTTACCGATTGCTCTATAGACTTCCCACGCGCAGCCGAAAAACGTGGGCGAGTTTTCAAAGGCCGACATATACCCCGATGAGGTTAGGAAGACCGCGTGACTTTAAAGGTTAGAGTACACGAGGCCGGACGTTACCGAGCGTATGTTCCTGCGTTAAGTATGTATTACGCTCTGTACATAATGGGGTATATAAACACGTGGGTGTATATTAGAGTTCGCTATGCAATATAGATAGAGCCACCCACGTGCTTGTGTATCCTTGATACCGGCTACCCCGATGAAACAGTCAGAGAGATATATAGGTATACTCTGCGTGTGAGTTGTCCCATAAGAATATCATAGTGCATCGGTATATTGTATGTATATACACATCTGGACAACTAATCGAGTCCCATGGGAAATTTTGTCTCTTATGGTACTTAATAATAATCATGTTTTAGATACCGAAAATCAACCCTCTCGCTCCTGTCTGTTTTATTCGTTCCAGGAAGACCAGGGGACACTGGATATATCTCTTCTAGAATGCACCGCGTGCATGCTTTCCGTGCGCCGATGCACCCAGTGCTATATAAACTGCGATTCTATATGAGAACGTGGGACAGGAGGAAGCGAAGGGAAGATATACGTAGGCGCATTCGTTCGTGTCGGATATCTACGACGTGTTTAAAGCCCAATCGAGGAAGTACGCCATTTTTTTTTCCTTTCGAGTCACGAAGCCCTTTGAGTGTCCATCCTTTTCGGGGGGGGATTACTGTTTTGTCATTTGATGCAATTATTCGTGTGGGCAAACATTTATATATTTGATATACTTTTATTATATGTTTAATTATTCATGCGTTTGCACGCGCCAAACAAAAGCAAAGATTCTCGACAGACTTTTAACAACACGGAAGGTGATCGTTGCCTATGGCTGTTATATAACTGTTAAATGTTTGCTGTATAATATTCGTTATCAGGAGCTATTGGACGTTATGTTCTGATAAGACTGAAAAAACACTAGAGAAATTGAGACGACACAGTCATTGATTTGTAGGGTGTTTGAAAGTTGTGCTGATTAAAAAAAAAATACAAAGATCAATGCTTTGAATTTGTATTAAATGAAATTAATATAATTTTCATTGAAAAAAAATTTCAACCCACCGTTGTTATATTTAACGTGGATTAATCTTAGATATGATAAATGGATAGATAACGAAAGTAGTGAGAGGCAATATGCAACGTGAACGAGTGAAAATTTGAGTTTAAAAAAAAATACAAAGGATCTTTATATCAACACAGCACGTATCTGTCGTACAATGCCGTCCGTCGATATAAAGAAGGGGAAAAAAAAAACAATTTGAAAAATTCGCCAGACACGTCTACCACGCAAAAATCCTCGAAGCTTGGGAAGCACTGTGGCACGATATAGGAAGCGCCGTTTTTAAAAGACTCCGGCAGCGCCATTGTGAGACGCAATAGAAGCTCAGCGGTTGTCAACCGCTTTTCGAAGTCGTGAATACGCGCACGTCCGCCATCCCCCATGATCGTCGCATTAAAAACAAGCCCGCAGCTCTACGTGTCAACGCGTGAATTTGCGCGTCATATGCCTCGTAATTCCCCCTTGGCAATTCGCAAACTTTTCCGCACAATTTCCATCGCGTTACATTTACATTAGCTGGCTCAAATTTATTCGTTCTCGTTAAATATACCCAACGCACACCGGTACATACACAAGACGTATGACTCGCGTAGTACGTACCATTGACGTGCCAGAAGAAAACATAGCGCAAAGGATTACCAACCGTCAATCCAGCAAACAATACTAGCCTACTTTTTTAAATTATTCAAACACACAACTGAAGTCTTACGACCGTTTTTTAAGTTTTTAACTTTTTTTTTTTAATACGTAAATTCATCTCAATGGATCTCACGGTATAATCATACTGCTCTCTCTCTTGCTTACGATATCTGTACTAGAGAAAGAAGGAGAGAGACAGCGAGCGTTCGCTGCAAAAACGTTTGTAAATTGCCCTCTTGATTCCCACAGTGCACTTCGATTCGTATATACAAGATGGCCGACTTAACCCACCGATCTCTTAAGCAGCCCGCCGTGACCACGTATATAGAGGCTTCTAGAAAATAACGAGAGAAGCTTCCCCTGGCACGGTTGAACGTGCATTCGAAGGATATGTTCCATGAAAGGTAAAACGGTCGTGTCGATCGATAATAATACCAGGGGACCGTTGTTGCACGTGTCAACCTCGCGACCAGGTGAAAAGTTTCGCTGGCGATGACAATTATGGTGCACTCTGGAACTACCCTGTCGCAGATGACGCGAAGGGATCGGTTTGGGCAGTGTCTGGATATGCATAGACATAATATATATATATAGCTATAGAACGCTAGCTCGGTATTTATATTGGCTTTGGCTGTTAGCTCTTCGTGTAGAATGGAGGATTATCGATCGGTGATCTACTATAGAAACGACGCTTCTGCTAGGAAGCTTTCTCAGGAAGTATGGAGGCTCGAAAAGACACTGGACATTTTTCATGATCACTCATCGACCTCGATAGGCTCTACTGATAAAACGTACCACGAATGAATTTCTGTTGGGAGTGACTAGGTGTTCGGTTACCACACTCAAAAAAGTGGAACAGATGATAAATATGTATGTATACGGGCAGACGGGGAGAGAGAGAGACAGTGCGAGAGAGAAAAACTTTTGGAATAAAATTCGTTCGAATTTTCTTTTTTTTTTTTTTTTTAAGAAAAATATAAATATCCACTAAAATTCAAAGTGTCAAGATAAAATAGTATAGCGATGCATCTCAAAATGTACTCACCCGCCAAAATCATGTCGCGTTCGTATTTCAACAGGAAATCCAAAAATATATGATACATATATCGTATATACGAAAATGTATAATAAGAGATAGCATACGCAATCCCATGAAATATTATTTCTATAGGTATGTATCGGCACTGTGGTCTTTCTTCTTTTCTTTAAAATTCTCTTCAAAATATCTCGCAATGTCTCGCGGGAGCGTCACGACGCAACACCGCCACCACACGGTAACCTTTTAGGAAAATTTATTTAAAAAATATATATTATATATACGTACGCACCATATCACTCGCGGTATTCTACAACTATTTACTCTTCTTGTTACGTCCCTTTATTATTATCAAGATCACACACGTTCACTCTCCGCCCTATATTACTTAATCCTAACCTCCAATGGATCCCTGATATGCTATACACTCCTTTGGACCAAGTAGGGGACTGACGATCCTTTCTATACGTTACACTGCACATGCGTGACCGTCACTCACGCACGTTAATAGAAGACACTGATAATATACGTATATCAAGGGCAGGCGTATACACGTTTGTAAATGCCCGCGTATATTCACGCGGCGCAACCACGAAGAACCGACGTCGTGATGCACGACGAAATTTCGACTCTCCGATATGATTTTCTCGATGAAGATGTCGTCTTCGGGATCGCTATGAATTCTTGCCGCGTTTCATCCTTTAAACACTCGTGAATCAATACCACGCGGAATCGAAGCGTGTAATCGCGAATTAAGAAATAATACAGTCAATATTTACCCGTTTTTTCCTGCGATCGAAATAACGGGGACACCGCGTGAAACGCTCTTAGATATCGATCCGAGCCACGATAATCGATCGATATATTGCCGTTCGAGTATTAACGAGAAAATGAAAGAGCCCTCACTCGCTCGTTCCACTCTATTGCGTATCGTCCTGGTACTTTATCCGTATCGCGTCACGTTACGTTTCCTCGAGTGCTTTACACTGTATGGACTTGGCCATGTGTGATTCGTACAGTCGTAACTGTAATCCAAGCCGGCACGAATCTCCGATACGATTAACAAGGTCTAATAGACGCAAACGAAAGTTTTCGACAATCACTTTTTAAAAAAAAAAAAACGAAACATTAATTCAACACTTCGCAGTACACAACAGATCGCATTGAAAGAAAACGGTTAGCAGGTTTGAATTTAGGCGCGAGACGTTTCACGTGGTCAACGAACAGTACTGGCACTCGTCTCGTAGATTCACTGTCGAGTGAAGTGACACCACCGAACGATCACTTAAGAACGAAATAGTCCATCCATCCGCGACGTGAACTCCTGAGAGCCTCTCGAGTATTCCCGAAGTGCCGCGAGTCGACGGAGCAGCAGCCGAAATCTCAGGACTCCGTGATTCGAGGTCTTGACGGTAGACAAGACGCTGTCGAAATGCGACAACCAAGTCTCGTAACCCGCGTTAAACATGCGATCTGAGGCTTCCGGATGCTCAAGGCAACGACGCTATCTGTAGTCATAACACCAGGAGTACTGTAATCCGCATTCGAGGAACGATGCGGCGATTCTCACGGGCTACTAACACGACGCTGTGAAAATATCGCGCGCGCATCATGCCAACACGTTCCGCGTCACGCAAGAAGATACTGTGACGTCAATGGTCATCGTCGTCGTGCTTGACAGTGGATTATCAACGTTCGTATTACGGAAGGTTAAAGGTACCCACGTATGCACAGACTGACTCACAAGGTACAAAAATATATATAACCAAATAGAGAGAATTACACGTTATCCTTGTAGGTTATGTTGTATCACACGTCACTTTTCGCCGGCAAACAAATTTTCTTAGTCTCACCGCTTTTTCTTAACCTTGACAGCTCGCGCACTGTATATACATACGTAGGGAGTAACTAGATCCAGTAGGGTAACAGATTGAAGATTGTTAGGAACTGCAGGAAAAAGGAATTAAGCAGACGCGTAGTCAGCATTTTGTATCTATAGCGGCACGTTCGTCTTTCTCGACCACTCGTGAGGGACTGAGGAACTGTCAGGTGTGCGTTGTCCCTCTGCGTGCTTGAGCACTGCTCAACATGCTAGAGCTTTCTCTCTCTCTCTCTCTCTCTCTCTCTTCCTCGCTTGCTCCCTCACTTGGCCGTTCTCAGTGTGCGCGCGATCTGCCCGGAACACTCACTGCGTAGTTAGAGGCGGCACGGTTTACATAAGAAGGGGAGTATATAGACAGCCGTGTCTGTGTATAGGATAGGACAGTAGTAAATAGTACTGTGCTAGTAGATTGGCCCGAGAGTGCACGCGTATGTACATTCGCACGTGCATGCAGGTCCCTCGTTGCCTTGTGTACGTTCTCTCAGGCTGGTAGAGGAGAAAAGGATGAAAGGGGGTGCGCGCGCAGATGGCGCAGGGACGTATGCTGAAAGGGGCAAACAAATTTTCGGGCGCTAAATTAATAGGGAGATCTAGCGTCTGCATATTGGATATTGGATACTACATACGGGCAGGTGTCGCTGAATAACGTAAAAATTTAAGGAACTCCGATGTAATCTTTAATACTTAACGGATAAATATATTTGATGGGTTGTGTATCGACGTAATTATGTGTTTACGTGTATATCCTACCACGCCGGTATATCCTGTATGCCATGAATTTTCTAGTAGCAATTGGCAGATATGAATTTTTATTGGTCTGCTTTTCGTTTTCGTAATTGCACTTATCGTATTGGACGATGGATGGCGTGATCGGTAAACCAGTTATCAATTGGCATGTTTTGTTCCTCGTGAACCATGTCCTATTGACGGTCGTAGTGGGAAAAGGTGTAAAACTAATGCCTGGGCAACGTATGAATTCCTAACGTATGCTGGTGCTGGATACGGTTGGGTAAGCTGGGTACACTTTGAATTTGTAGAACTTAAACTTTTTTATGCATATATGAGTAGACTAAAAAAAGATAGTAATGACGACTCACCGTGTTGATGGGGTGCGGAAAAGGCCGAGTGACGTCGCGGTGACATTGGAGGATGATTTCCTTGACTTCCCGGTGGCTGCATAGATGACAGTGCTCCCAGGGGTGTGTAAGACTTGCAGGGTTGCTCGAGTTTTGGCTGAAACAAAAATGATTTTCTTATTTAAATACTTGCTTCTGTTCGTTCAACTTTTAGTTGGTGACTTTATTTTACTTGGTTGGTTACCTGGTCGTGGAGTTCAGTCGCTACTGCAGTAGCTGCAGTCTGCGTATGACTTGTGGAACTGATTCTATACTGCATCCCGGCGATACTGCAGAATCCTTCGTGATGGGTTGAACGAGTTTGATTCACATATACCCCTGGAATCAGTTAGAATTGAAAGTATTGATGTTTGACAATGACCGTTCGATTGTGGATCAATTATGGTGAATAACCAGAGTGTGAAACTTACCAGTAATGGTGACATCGGTATCTTGATTGACGATGACAACCTTCTTTGACGGTTTTATCACCTCCTCCGAATCTGATCCTTGACGTGACTTTCGCTTGTCGACCTCTGAATCGCTCTGCTTGCGCCTTTTGATGACCTCAACCTCGGACTCACTGGTGGAGTCATTGGATGACGATGACGATGATGACGAGCCCTGTCGATTTTTCTCGTCGGAATAAGACGCAGCCAAAATGGCCGATGCGTTCAAACTAGCCATTCTCTTGCAGACGACCATATCCTTCAAGTCCATCACTTCCTCGTTCTTTTTTCGCCTCTTTACGACCTTCTTCTTATTTGCCTCCAGGCTCTTTTCTTGCTCGTAATCCTCATCGGACGAGGACGACGAGGACGATGAAGTTTCTATCATGTCCCAGTGTTTTCCACGCAGCCCCGGTACGTTCCTCAATTTTCTCTTTGGAGCATTTTCCTCTGTGCTTTCGTTCTTCTTCAGATTGTTGTCCTTCTCTTTGTCCTTGTCTTTTGACTCTTCCTTCTCCTCCTTGGCCTTCTTCTGCTTCTCCTTCTCCGGCTTAGGCTTGCAGAAACCACCCAGGTACACACCGCCGGCTTCGTTCTCATACAAACAGTGGACCTTAGCCAGGGCGTTAAGGGATGCCACCCTGTGACGCTTTGGACCACTCCAAAAACCAAACAATCTCATCCTCCTAGCTCGTTCGTCCGAGGGTGAGCTTTTTCTTTCTTTCTTCTTCGCCATTCTTCGTTTGGTCTTCTTTGGACTCTGGGTCTCATCTTCATCGTCCGAGTTCGAAGAACCACTGGAGGAACTGTTACTAGCTTCCGCGTTAGCAGCTTCCACTTTCAAATCTGTCTTCACCAGATTCTCACCGTGCTCCTGCCTTGAGCCTGTCACACCCTTCGAAGCTTCTTCAGCGACCTTGGATTGCTTCAGGAGTTCGTCCAAGGTCACCTCGTCCGACGAGGTCGACTTGCGGTCACTCTCTTCAGATTGCGCTTTGACGGGTTTTGTTATTTTTTTCACTGGTTTCTTCGTGACCTTGGCTCTGATGGCGATCTTCGTGCTCTTTTTCGAATCCTGCAATTTTCCTTGACATTTTTCATCCTTACTTTCCTCGATTTCCCTTTTTATGTTATTCGCCTCTATCTGATTAACCGACTCGTCCTTGCTCGATGCTTTCTTGACCTCGCTCGTTATCTTCTCGGATTCCTTTGCTTCCACTCTCTTCTTCATGACAATCTTCTCCGTGATTCTCTTGAGCTTGCCCTCCTTCTTCAAAGTCGCACTCATCCTCACCTGCTTCTGACCGATCTTCGCTTTCATCTGTTTCGCCAGTTTTGGTCCTTTGTCCTGGGGAAGTTTTCCTTTTACCAATGCGAGGCTGTTCTTTTTTTTCCTTTTCTTCGTTTCCTCCTCTTCTTCACTCTCAGCCACCGGTGCGCTCCTCGACGCCTTGACTAGTTTAACATTCTTCTCCAGCAACTTCTTACCGACCACTGGCGAATGAGACGCCATCTTCTTTACCAGTACCGTCTTCTTCGGCACAGCCTTCTTCTGCGTCTGCTTCGCTTTTGTATCCTTCTTTACGCCCGCTGGCCAAGACTTCCTGCTAATTTCCTTTTCCGGTGTCTTCTTTCGCTCCAACTTCTTGTTATCCTTTGTCGTACTTTTAAAATTTTCTTTTGATTCGGGCTTTCCTGCTTTCACGTCCTTCCTCTTCTCTTCCTTGTTCTTCTTCTTCGATGCCAAATTCACAGAATCCACCTTATCTTCCTCGGACTCCTTGTCGTCCACAGAGGGCTGGTACTTGACGCCATTTTCTAAGTTATCGACTTTGGTCCTCTCCTCGTGTCTTGCCATCTTCTTCTTCTCCGCATTATCGTGCGTCTCTACTTCTCTCTCGTCCCCCCTTTCCTCGGATCTCTCGTTCCTTTTCTCTTCAAGCTTATCCAACCTCTTCTCGTTGTCCCTATTTTGCTTTCTCTTTTCCTCCAATTTCTCCATCTTCTCCTCCTTCCTCCTCTCCTCCATTCTCTTTTTATTTTCTTCCGATTTATTATCCATCCTCCGTCTCTCCTCCTGTTGCTGCTGCTTCTTCTTATCCTCCGGCTTCTCCTGCCTCTTCATCTCGTTCTCCAACTTCCGCCTTGTCTCCTCGGGCTTTTCTAATTTTTTCACTTTTTTTTCACTCTTCGGATCGGCCGCCACCAATTTATCCGGAGACACCCGACGCTTCTTCGCCAAGGTTGTCGTCCCTGTTGCCTTTCGGCCAACGACAGCCTTCTTCTGCGGCTTCATTACGACCCGCCTCTCTTCACATCTTTGGCCCGATTTTAGGACACGTGAAGTTCAATAAGATCTCAACTATGTCTTCACAATTATCTGACCGCCATATTGAGTTTCGTTACCTTCAAAGTATCTTGGTAAACGCAGGATGTATCTGGAAGATGAGTAACAAGACTTGTTGATTTAATTTACCACGTCAAACTATTACAAAGTGTAATATATCTATTAATAAGATTATATCTACCATACACACTCTAGATTATCGATAAAGATAAATTAAAATAGAATTCAATTGAGCATTATTGATCATTGTAAAAAAAATATACAGATAAAAGCGTACGTTCGTTCGAAACAATCGTAAATCAGGATGTGGGATAAGGCATCAAGTATCGTACGTAATTGACTAGTGCATTAATCACACAAAATGAAAATTCAAAAGCACTCGCAATATTAATTTATAATTCGAATTAATTAATAACGCAAAGATCAATGGATTACAAGACCAGAGAGAAGGATCACACGAGTTCACGGTAGCCATGATGAGATCGTAATGGAAATCATTATGGTCATTATTACCAGTTTCAAGATCAATCATAATTAAGAGTGGCATGGGTAGACACTTGTCACTCGCAGAAGAAACGAAAGGTGATCAACGTTTTGAATATAACTTTATCGTAGAACAAGAGAGAAAATAAAAGCACGAAAATTCAGAGCTGAAGCGCCATCTCACGTAAGATCCAAGATACGAGGGGTCCCTTTAAACAACATTAGCTTCGTTCTTACTGTCATAGCAGCTAAAGATTTTTCACACTCATTTCGCGTATATTGCACGGGATCGATGAGTGATGAGAAAAAATGGAAAAAACAAATTTTAATTGATAGCCAGAGACAGACTGGAGCGTGGCTTCAAGAAAAAAAAAATAGGACACCCTTCCAAAAGTGTCCGTAGATGGCCACAAGTGGCTGACGTTGAAGCAGCCTGATCGATGAATACTCTTAGCTTACGAGAGTCCAGGGATAGGTAAGACCAGGAAAATTCGGTGAATGGAATGAAAAGACTTACGGCACGTTTGAAGAATGCTTTGTCACTGTTAGTCCTTGTTTAATAAAAAAAGCAATAGGTTCGCGAGACTTGACGAAAAGGTAAGATTGTGTTTACCTCTGGCAAGCCCTTTTGTTGCCACTCGAACCGCGAACGCTCTTTTGAACGACGATTATTTACCACCGGATGAACCTCGCGTACTTTTAATAAGCCTGCACGTTGAACCGAACGCACCGTCGACTCCCCCCGTGTTAATTGACCGTCGATGCTCACGGGTTACCGCGAAAATCGCATTTTCAGTTGCGAAACTCGTACCACTCGACGTCCCTGCCCTTTTCCCGTAACCCCATCGGCCATTTTCTCGCTGGCGGTTCTCCCTCCCAGGCCCTCTGTCATGCGTTCCGGAACGCGGCACAGAGTGCACGACGATAGTTCTCAGCTGGTAAAACAGTCGCTGGAAATTTATTCGAAATGTCTGCAGCAGTGGCATCGCTCGGCTATCCTAGGAATTTATACTTAGGGAACTCAGGAAGAGTGCGATTTTAGGAACATGCTTAAACACCTGTTACGATTTTCATGGTCCAAATTTGATTTCGGCGTCGACGCGCCGGCTACGCGAAGGGTTCTCGAACCAGTCTCAAGTTTTGGATTGGTCGAGTATATATAGTAATACTACGCGTCATATTCCTGAGCTCCGTAAGACCCATGGATTATACCGGGTGACACTCTAAAGCGTGTGTATTCTGGTGTCGACGTGCTATCTAGTTGGAGGAGCCTCGAACCAGTTCCACGTTTGTGAATGGTCAAACGTATATCCTAAGCAAACCTTCGATTGGAATAACAACAGAAATATGTTTTCCAACTCCTCGCCATGCTGCCTGAACAGCACACCGAAATGAAATTGCACCGAAAATGCACTACGCCCTTTGCGGGCACGTGGGCTCTCGCAGCCATGAAATACTGAGCTCGCGAACGATTTTTATTTATTGTTTCTTTAATCAAGCCACGCTGCGATCACGGACATATTAAAGAAAACTATTATTGAAATGTAGGTACGTTAGTAATGCAGATACACGTCCATTCGTTAAGAAATAAGGAAGTAAAAAAGAAATAAATATGGAACAAGATAAAGATTGAAAATGGATAAGAGGGGTGCTTCCAAGAGAACAGCTCGAGGAAGATTGAGCGCTCCTATTCCGGGCACTGCCTTGAGCGCTCCCGCCACTCGCCAAGTACTGCGCAACTAATTCGCGCGCACGCAATTTTGGGCAACTTCCAGTACTTCTAAATACTCTTTGCCAGGATTTCTGAATTCCAAGGGTTAGTATCGAACTATATTAATTAAAATAATAAAGTTTTGTTGAAAAAATACATTACAGTCGGTTAAATATTTGAAAAATATTGTTTCCAGTAATAAAAAAAAAAAGTTCTACCGGATATTCTGATTGAATCCCAGTAACATTGCCTGAATTAAATCTCCCTCTTTTAATTCAGGACGTTCGGCTGTTCGTCCAGGTAGGATTAACAATGCGTTTGCACTTTTGCAACTCAATAATTTACTGCTTATTTGATTTCCTGTACTGTAAGCTACAGGAATTGGATCATTGGCGCTCCATTCCAATATTGCCCTAGCATATTCTGGTCTCGGATCCAAATTATAAGACGACGTAAGCTGTAAAGATACACATATGATAATACATGTGGTACTGCCTATAAAATGGATTATGCAATTACGTACTTTTGCAGTAACAACAACTGGTTTCGTGTAATTACCAGACAAACGACCCAACAGTGGCAGAGCAAATAAATATGCAGTGACAGTCGCAGAAACAGGATTTCCAGGAAGACACAAAATGTATTTTGTTTTTCCACGATATTCACAAGTAGCGAACGTCGTTGGTTTTCCAGGTTTCATATTGACTCGCCCTATTTAACGAAATATATTGTTACACAATAATTTGATACACTTGCCATTTTATATTCATAATAACTAATATTACCAAAGTGTATCTTAGCTTTGAATATCTGCTCCAAAATTGGTTTAAGCATATCTCTGTCCCCCATAGAAACTGAACCTGAGGTCACTAGGACATCAACATTCTCGAAAGCTTCTTTTATGGCATTTATCATGACTCCTTCGCTGCAAATTAAATTTATTTTATGGGCTGCTGTAACAGTTTTAGATATACACACACATATATATATTGCTTACTCGTCAGTGGCTATACCAATATCCTTAGGATCGTAACCATTCTCTTTCAATAGCATCATCAAAGTGATTTTATTGCTGTCATACACGTGACCGGGTTTTGCTGGCTCACCAGCTTGTTGCAATTCATTTCCGGTGGATAAAACGCCAACTGACGGAAGTTTCGTCACCCGGACTTTTGTACAGCCACATGCGGCCAGGATCCCCATTTCCACGGCACCGATCCTGGTATAAGCCTTCAGAATCAAACTGCCCTTCCTAATGTCGCTACCTATAGGTCTTTAAAAGATGTATCATTAATAGATAGCTGTTTTGACGACTCTTAATTAAGAATAGTTACCTGATATCTTGACCATATTGAGGCTCAACAAGTATTTCTATTTCCTTTTCTTCCTCGCCATCTTCTCTCCTCTCTATTAATATAGTATCCTCGACCTGGACCACTGCAGTAGTGCCTGTAAATGTAATTCAAGAATTTCTCAAAATTTCTGAATTTTTTAATATTACAGCTGGACACAAAATTAACTTGTTACATATAATACCTTCTGGAACAGGAGCTCCTGTATTGACCCTGATGCATGCGCCAGGTACGAGCTGGGTAGTTGGCTGAAATGAATAAAATTATTTTATTCGTCTAATTAATAGAAGGAAATGTTATGTTTTAAATTTATTCCTTACGGTTTGTCCAGCTTGCACACCACTTAATACACGTCTACGACCTTTTCCATCACTGGCAATAACGGCATAGCCATCCTTGATTGAAGCTCTAAATGGGGGTAGGTTGCAATAGGAATAAGTATCAGTGGTCAAGACTCGTCCATAAGCATCCCATACGTTAATGATCTCATCTTCTCCAATTTTTGCAATTTTATTAATGATCTCATCAGCCACGTCCATCGAGAGCATCGGATATGGAGATTCTCTTAGCCGACCGGCTATGTCGGATAATCGAATCTGCGAGAAGGTAAATATTTATTTCTCTCTTCTACATTTACAACTATGGATGTTATATAGTTTACCTGTGATACATCAGGTATTGCACTGGAGGAATGATGTGTACAAGTACCCTGAACTTTTTCATGTGTTTTTGTAACTTTTGCCTTATTCTCCAAAATCAAATCTACCGCATGCGGAATTACTTTAGCAATGGCTTCCAGGCATTCTTTCACTGCTTTGGGTGAACCAGGTAAATTGATTATCAATGTTTTACCACGTATTCCACAGACAGCTCTGAATTATTGTAATAATTAATTAGGCATTGTGACAATTGCCATTTGCAGAATCTTAAAATGAATAGATTCTAATATTGACTTTTTAGTACCTTGAGAGCATAGCCATTGGAGTTATTTTAGAACTCGCCATAAACATAGCCAGAGAAATCGCAGGCGCTTCTTTCTGGATCACACTCTTCGTAGCTTCCGGTGTAACGTCTCTTGGTGCAAAACCAGTTCCTCCAGTTGTCAGAATGACGTTGACTTTGATGACGTCGGACCACCTGGCCAATGTTTCCTTTGACAGAAAGATTACTATGACATAACACTGCGTCGAAGGGAAATATTAAGATTTTAATTATTAAAAAATGTTTACTATTATTTGAAATTCTTCATCAGGTACAACATTAATACACGCGATTTGACCTTTGAGGATCTTTCCCGTTTCCGTTTGTACATCGGTCACGAGCTTTTCCAATTCGGGTCCACTTTTATTATCGCCAGAACCAGCAGCACAGGAATCGCTAACTAGAATTAAAGAATTGCATATAAAAATTGTTAAATATCAATTGCGTGGAATTCAAAAGACTTCGTAAAAATTAGTTATTGTATGGTATGGTATTCTGTACGGTGATCGGCAATCTTACACTTAACCTTAAAATAAGTTAGGCTACTATTTTTGTATTATTATCCTATAGAAAGTCGACGAGTTTAATTTTGCAAAAAGAACGATTCAAGGAAAAATTATTAACTATCATTAGTTTGAATTGTCAATCTTTACTCACTGGTTAATATTCCAAATGTTATAGGAGCCATGTCTGCAGCAGTCCTATCTCTCTTCAGGCAAATATTGAACATAGTTTTTTATTGCTCGTTACTGTAAGATAATGAGAGATCGTGATGCAACTTCTGCATTCGACCACTGTAATGGCACGACCATCAATTCCTGAAACGATCTCTACACTGTTGTAAAATCCCATTTTAATCTTTGGTTAGTCTGCACCCATCAATCATGAAATTCAGCAAACGGATACCTCTTCATTAGCACTGTATTAATATACTTTAGATAAAAGCACCAACTTCGTTATGTAGTTGCTGATAAAATTTGATGAATTATTTTGTTACTGTATGATTCAAAGTGTAGGAATAGATTGGCCCAAGTTCTCAACAGCGTTGTTATTACAGAAATGAAGACTTCGATAACACGTAAAATATCTTAAGAATAGCAAAGGAATAAATCCATTTGTAAATACGATTCTTGTTTATTGAACAAAACTTTCCATAATTTTATAACGTAGAACGAATCCCGCTTCCAGAATCAGGACTTCCGCAATTGTATAATAAACGCTTTTGCAATCCGTAAAAGCTAACAACGATTGAAGGAAGAGTCATGTATAGGAAGGGCCTAATTAATAGATTCCATTGGATGGAAGGTCGCACATTCTCGTGTGTCAGTAGTCGACCAGTCCCCTGAAATAGAAAATCATTAGGATATCTTGGTAAGCAGAGGTCGTAATTTTTGTTTGAATAACGGAATAAAAAAACAAGTTTTCTGCCTTACCGACTGCTTCTTGGACTCAATGAACGAGGTGGAGAATCCCGGTACCTCCTACGAGAATCCTGACGATTTTTATCTCGCTCGTCACGTCTGTCTCGATCTCTATCCCGATCCCTATCGTTCTCTATTTCTGCATCCCTCGTATCCCTATCCCTACGTTCCCTACGTATTATCTGATGCCGAGGACTTCGACCAGGACTTGGTGAACGAGACGTCGAGGAACGTGAATCCGAACTGTGACCCTCGTATCGGTGTCTTCTTTCCCTCTGTCTGTAAATAATTTTTTAAATGAATTTTATAAAGATTGTTAAAAATTAATACCAAAATGGCAGAACATACTTCCGGCGCAGTTTCAGTGACATCTCACGAATCTCATCTTCACGATCCTGTCTCTGCTGTTCCATCTTTTCGATTCGTAATTGCTCTGCTTTTTTGTCGGCCTTGTCTGAATATATTTTTGTAATTATGTATCTTTCTCTTTTATTATTTTGCATGCTGCTGACTATGACTTACATTGCCTATTGAGTAATGCTTGCATCTTCTTCTTAAGCCGCTCCTGAGGTGTAATTTTCGAGGACTGAAATACAAAACTCTTAAGGAACCGTTACTCGTAGATCAATGACATTGAAATAACGGCGTAGTTTAGAGAAAATACAGGCTGACTGTGACGTTTCTAAATGATCTTTAGAAAATGTGCAATCTTCTACAGTTGGGAGTGCGATAAAAATAATAAATGTAGGTAATCTACGTATATCATTTAAAAGTGCAAGCACTGAAGGACAGTCAAGAAGTTTTAAACGCTCTATGGACTCTCAATAGAAAGATTAAATTTTTAGTACGCGACTGTCAATATTTCGTAGCTACAGCAAAAGAATGTGAACACTATAATGGCGGTTGTAATAATGGACATTCTAAAGACGTTTAACTATGGCGATTCGTGCATACCATGAACATAGGAATATAGGGACGGAGTATAGGACCCTTCAGCTTGCCAAAAACGACGTCAGGGGGGAATCAATGTCCGCCATCCATTATGAAAGGCCAAGGTACTTCCGTCTGATGCGATCACACGACGTTGTCCGGAAACTATATGCCATTATTATTACACTGCCTGTTCACAAAAGATGGTGGACGATTGTCGCCTCTTACGGCAATTTGGAAAACCCCGTTTTCTACAATTTTATCTCATGCCCGTCCATGTATTCTTATCTATGTCCATGGTGGGTACGCAAGGAAATGAAGCAGATAGCAATTCCGCGAACGTGAAATCAGTGCATTCTCGATTCGCACGTTTAGAGCGGAACGCAAAGATGTGAAAAAGTACGTCGAAGCTCCTCGTCAGGACGGCAGTTAATGTGGAATGATTTGTTTCTTTCTCTGTCTTTTTACTCTGTGCGTTAAGTGACTAAGGAAGCGTTACGGTTCTTACTGACTTTGTGTCCGCCACCAGAATTTGTACTTAACCCTGCTTTTGGCTTGTTCCTGAAACAAAGTAGTAAAATCAATTTTTATAAATTTTTAGTAATCGACGTTATCATTTTTAATCTGTTATCCCTTACGCGCTTGTGCTTATTATAGGAGGCTTTGGTGCCGGTGGAACACTTTTCTCTTCATTATCCGACAACTCCAGTTCTAGACTAGAAGATTTACCACGCCGACCGTAATACCTAAAGAAATTTTTACCTTTGTATTATTTGACTGTTAACCATAGAATTAATCAATTTCATGTCATTAAGAATTTTCTGACCTTGGCAAAGTCGGTGCCTTGTTCTCAGTGCTTCTGGATCTCTTGCAGCTGGAACGACTCCTTGATCTAGATCTCGATTGAGATTTTGATCTTGATCTGGATCTTGACTTTGACACTGTATAACGTCTTCTCCGATAGTTATCCCGTGAGTGACTATGATTAAGTGATCTGGATCGTGACCTTGAGTGTGTTCGCGAAAAACTGCTTGTTGAGGACGAACGTGACCTTCTTTGACGCGAATGCGATCTGGATCTTGAACGGGATATGGATCGCGATCTCGATCTACTAATACTTCTGCAACGAGAACGTGACCTAGTGCGCGATCTTGTGCGTCTTGAGCGACTCCTCGTTCTGGATCCAATAGGCTTTCTAGGCCTGGAACGTGTTCTTCTAGATCTGTTAAAATAACATGGATGAAAATTGTTAATTAACCTTAATTCATTTTTTTACAAATTCATCACTGCATAGTTTATGAGAATACCTAGTACGAGATGGACTTCGCCTTCTATCACGAGTTCTATACGGTTTTGATCTGCTATGGGATCGTGATCGAGTTCTTGATCTAGACTTTGAAATTCTTCTGCATGCAGTTCTCTCGTTAAAGGCTGGACTTTCAGATCTTTTACGTCTCAAGTGTGAGTAGTTCACTTTTTTCGTACTTGACGAGGTCACCTGGGAAGAACTACCTTGAGCCTCCTCTTCGCCACCAAAACTTGTAATATACGTTATTTGACCAGCATTGACTGGCGAAGCCGACCGGGAACGAGATTTTGATGATGATTTTCTATAGGGATTATATTCTGGACTTTCTCTTGCGGCATAGCTGTAAATATTCATGGTTAATCCTAATAATATAGAGAAATCAATTTTTCTTTTCTAAAAACCATCATATACGAGTACCTTGGCGGGCTCATTACACGGCCAATCATTTTTTTCTCTCGGAAAGCTCGTCTTTCTCGACGTGATCTTCTACCCTATTTATATTTAAGGAAAAAAATATAAGTTTAACATATAGAATACACTTAGTGATAATTGAATAAACAGATCATTCAACGATTACCGAGTACATAGCCTTCTCTTCTTCTTGCTTCCGGGCTTGTCTCAGAGTCTCAGCTTCTTCAAAGTCTTGTGTCAAAAAACTAAAATAATCAGCACCCAAAAGCCCATATTTCTGTGCCACTTGATTCATTTCGTGCGCTTGAGACGGTTCTATTTGTGACACGTCCACGCAAATATCTAATACAAAAAGGAAGCAAAAAATATGTAAATATATTTTATTTTTTTACTTATCGAGCATACGATAAATACCTAGATCAATATCACTATCCTCATCTTCTTGCTTATCTTCCGATCCAACAGATTCCACAGGCTTTACAGAATCAGGAATAGGCTCATCAGTCTCATAATTATATCCTATGGCAGCATTGTTGCTTGATTTCTTTTTATCTTTTAGAGAATCCGGTTTTGTCGAAGAGCCAAATTGCTCCTCTAGATGAATTTGATGCAGGAACTTTTCCTCCGTCACTAAAAAAAATACCATCCATATGCAATTAATGGCCAATAATTAAAATAAGTTATTAAAATATATACTAACCACCAAGAAATTCATTCTGAACGATAATTCGATAACGTTCATAATTGATATGTCTGTCTTCACTAGTCAGGGCAATATCAACGTCAATAGTATCTGGAGCCTCCGGAATCCAGTCAAGATGAGCACGTACATCAAATCGGTCAATGAGATTTTCTTCATTTCCTTGCCAAGGCATCCTATTAATTATTATGGTAATAAATACAAGTTAAGGAAAACAGCATTTCGTAAACTTACATATTGGCAGGGCTGTCTCCAGCAGCAGCGATAGCTGGATCCAAATGTATCTTGCACGGTCGTCCATGCAGTTGAAGAAATTGTGTAGGGTCTGATTTCTAAGGTAACATAAATATCATTGGAACCCCTTTACAAATTATTCGTTACAAATACAGAAATAAAACACTCCATTGCTTGACTCAGTTTTGAACAATTTTTGCAAAAGTAACCAAACTCCACTCAGAGTATACAATCTCCTACAACACTCCAAGTAGTACAACATAATGTATAACCAATACAATTTCTCTAATTTCTTACAATCTTCTCATAATAATCTCTGCGTCGTTCGGCTCGTCTACGATAATCCACCAACATCCCGCGAATTTTCTTTTCTTGCTTGCGGGCCTCGTGCCACATCCTGCCACCGGTTTTCTTTACTGAAAAACTCATTTTCTATCACAAATCGGTCACGAGCCGTTAACGACACAACGCGATGTCCATTCGCTTACTAGACGATAAAAATTGAATAACTCTCAACTGACACGCTTTCCTTTCACGCGAAGCGGACATGTTAGTTTACAGGTATCTACGATCCGTAACCGACCACGACCGACGACAACCGACGTCTGTGGAACACTGTGGACAACTAGCCGGTAAGCACAGCATACCCCATAGTTGTCACTGCGGTTGCGTAGGAGTTAAATTTTCGCTACCGTCTCAACCCCATAATGGCTGCAACCCTTGGAGAAAAAAAAAGGCTCCAGCATGGTACAAAAAAACTCCGAGTAGCAAGCTAAAAGAATTAGCACGAAAAAAATGAATTTATAATTCTTTACGTCAACACGCATTCCGCATTTCGAATTATCACAATTTTCGGATTCTACTGCATCAAAAAGACCTACAGTACCAGTTTTAAACCGTCCTAACAAAGTAGACTTAAAACTTAAAAAAAAGAGGATATGATAAGATCCTTTATCCCCCATTTTCTCGAACGGAAGGAAGTTTGGGATGTCGGCTAAAGAGAACGTAACGGCAAAGGTGAAGATGCGCTTGTTTATTATTAACCTTATGTAATATCGTTTCAAATTCTCAATTACAATATTATATATAATAATAATCATAATCATAATAATAATCAATAATGATAATAATAATCAATAATAATAATAATAATCAATAATAATATGACAATGTATACAGGTTAGATGCAATTTTTTTCATCTTGTTTGGAGGTTTTTTTGTTTATTTTCATTCTTAATAAGATGGTTGGTTTTCTTAATTCAGTTTCTTTTTCTGCATTCATTTCTTATATTTTTTTCCCCCGATCGGTGGCGCGCAATCGACAACCGAGCCGCCGGTCATCGTGTCCCCTTTATTCCATCCGCCATTAAATCTCGAGCGACGCTCGCTCGCCGCCTCTCGGGCGTATCAGTCGTATTATAGTATATTTTCTGAACACAATGTTTTTACTCATGACGTTAGGAAACTTATGTTATTTGACACCGGCCGCGTCATGTTCCAAAGCACGGCGAAAGCGTAATAACGAATCTCGAGAGCCGAGGAAAAGTTAGCTAGCAGCATTGTCATTTGAAAAATGCTGCAAACACGAATTGCGTAGTCAATCGCAATGATATTGTCGCCGAGTCGAGATACCGGATGTACAATTACGTAACACATCCAGGAGGAACAGGATGATATCACGTGAACAGCTATGCAGAGGGTAAGTGATTGAAGAGGGTGAGAGTGGATGGTTCTTCGTATAAAAATATAATACAAGGTAAAAAAGAAGAGGAGTAACAAGTGGGGTGGATTTCTCCATTATTAGGATCTCTCGGAGGGAGAGGAAGGGGTATGAGGGATGATCGTACGTATTACTTTTTCTTTGCATATGTACAGGAGTATACGATGGCGATAATAGAGTAAAAAAATGGGAAATCCGTTTGTGGGAATTACCGAGATCGTCTACGGGGAGAGATGGAATTTCAAGGGGATGTGTGTTTTCGACAGTCGACGGGGAATCCCCGTTTTCCTCGTCCCAATTATGCGGGAGAGTACGAAGATTTTTGTTACTGTTTATCTGTTTCCTTGTTGCTCGGCCGCTTCTCTCGTGATTTCAACGTCTCCGCGTCAGACGTCGAAACGTCCGGTTCTCGTGGATCGACGTAAAAAAAAAGAGTTAAAAAAAATAATGCCGAATTTAATCCGCACGGAACTTGGAACACGTCCCAGCCGGTCCTTATGTCTATGTAAATGTATATATTTCTGTTGTTTGCTAATTGGCTTAAATAGTCTGCATTTTGCGACAACTCGTTTTTTTCCCCCTTTTTTTTTTGAATGGCAATGTTCTCACCAGAAGAATAATAACTGTCACCGAACGACGTGAACGTTTTGTATCCCTGGATTTTCGTATCTTCCCTTTTTTCTTCTCTCGCTCTCTTTGTATCATTCTCTCTCTCTCTCTCTCTCTCTCTCTCTCCCTCCCATCTATGCCTCTCGCAAAGGTAAAGGAAGGAAGTGTCGGAAATCGATGCCTGTATCTCGACTCGCGACCGAAAACAATGTGAAAGAAGAGCAAAAAGAAAAGGTCAAAGTTCATTCCCGATCTTTGGCTCTTGTCGCTCTACAATATGTTATAACTCACTCGTTCTCTCTCTCTCTTTCTCTCTCTCTCTCTCACTCTTTCTCTTCATCTCGTTTCGTAGCGAACCGGGTAACAAGCAACGGATCCAATAAAAACATAGACACGTGTAAAACGATAAGTGCATTCATGTCTGATAATATTTTTTTTATACATAATTTCTCTTTATCCTTTACGATGCTCTCGTGCCTCCCCGACTGTCAAAGATTTTCCAAGTGTTCGACTATGATCTCAGTCCTCGAGAACCATCCGATCTCGTCGTCCGTCTCCATTTGTATTAACAATACAATAAAACAAAAACAAAAACAAAACAGATAGGCAATTCGTTATTACCTAAATTATTTCCACGTCAATCGTCGACGCGACGAACGACGTTGTTTCCATTAACGGAAAGTGCGTCGTGGTCAACGATCGTCGCGAACTAAGATTTAAGGGGAAGGAGAGAGAAGAGGAGGACGAGGAATAAATATTACGTGACTTTAGAGGGAAGGAAAAAAAAAGAAAATGTATAATCGGGAGAGGATACGCGTGAAATTTTACATTGCCCTGTAATTAACTCCTTGGTTTGCGTGTTATCCCTGCTTTTCTCTCTCTCTCTCTCTCTCTCTCTGTTTCTCTGAGCCAGAGCGTTACTGATTTCTGCCGTTCCAACGTGATCTGATATACACACATACCTATGATACAACTATACGCGAATAACCTTGAAATACGTCGTGCAAAGTCACCTCACAGCGGGGATGCGATTAACTGCTAAGGATCTTTTACAAAGAAATTCCCGAGCGTCGAGAAACGTTCGAACTGACAAGCCGCACAGAAAGTACGTTAGGAAATTCACTGGCAGCGCTGCGAGAGCATAGCTGTGTCTCACTCGATAGCATGCATGTAAACAAGGACGGTAACTGTACTCGTAAGTACTGGCAGTGAATTTCGGAACGTGTACAAAATGAGACGCAAGACCAATGACAAAAGTAAATTTTCCTCGACGCGTAAATTGTCGTTCGAGAGCAATCGATTAATGCGAGATATAAAAGATCGAGATATCTCGATTGCGATTTACAAAATAAATCGCTGCGAAAGAACAATGGCGCTGGGCGACGATTTAGGCGCGCGTTTTGAACGCGTGAAATTTCGTATCCCTCGCCTTAACGTTTCTCATTCTCGTTTTCCCTGGCACGATGGTGCACGATGCGATACGTACATGCCGTATTTCTTTTCTTCAAGTTTTTCATTATTATACCTTCTTCCTATTAGTCGTCTATCTACGCGCAAGCACAAGTCTCTCTCTCGTCGTTCGGGACCCAGAATCCTCTGCGAGACGCAATACGGCGTCCAACCTAAGTTAACACATCACGGATAGAAATCGTTTTATTTACTGTAAATTCACGCAGCCTGCTTAAGGGTCTCGTATATCGTTGACGTAAAGTATTACACGAGTGACACTGAGTTGTTTATAATCCAACGAGAAACCCGGCCAGAATCACGCGTCTGCGCGCGCAACTGAATTTTCAAAATGGCGTAGCCTACGCGGGATGCGTTTGACAAACGTTTTCGATGATCGCGCGAAAATTATTTCGACGCGGCTTTTGTCGTCGATCTGTATAAAAATATAAAAATTATTTTCAAAAAGATCTTGGACTGTCAAATTAATTCATTCGCAATTTCCAAGTGATCGATATGCCCCCGACTTCCTTCCAACTAATGTGCTACAAACTTTATATTCTGCTTTACTCGTCAACTATGATGGATCGTGTAATGCATTTTTCGTTACTTTTTATTTCTCTAATTACCATCCTTTTTTTTTCTCGAAATTTTTTTCACCCCCTCTTTCCTATAAGACCATGAGGAATCGTGAGGCCAGCGGATGACGCGTGTACATATGTGTGTATACAGTATATAATTTATTCTATTTCTAAAAACCCGTAAGCGCTACGAAAACAAAATATTGGCACGACCTTATCGTGGTCACTGATAACGTCTGATCGTAATCGCTCGATCTTAATTCGACAGATGTGTCTTTTTACGTGTACATGTTTGCCCTGTATGTGCTTCGACATGCGAAAAACGCTTATACGAAAATACTTCGGTCTCCCCGCGAGACATACCGATCGTGTATAGAAAATTGTTATCTCTGTCCTTATCGTCTTTTGTATTATTTTTTCTCCCTTCTCCTTTCTTACTAGTCGGAGCGCAAAAAATCGAAAAGCTTAGAGAGGGTTTTATTTCGATTTCTTTCCTCCTCCTTTCCCCTCCTGAAAGTCCCTTCTTCAGAAGACAAAGTGCAGGCAACTTTCGATTATACGAATCGAGAATCCTTTTCACAAAACTTAGTCGACACTTAAGCCACAATCACACGGAGAAAATGTATTGCGTAAGCTCTATATATGAGCATCCCATAGAGTAGGAGCCTTTGTACAAAAAGTTATTGCGAACGGACATCCGCAAATGTTGAACAAACGTCGGAGGACCGTGAGAGAAAAACAATAGAAAGTGAAATAGAAAAAAAGATTTTCCAAATCGATCGGAAACCTCGTCTTTACGAAATCCGAAAAGTCAATCGCTTGAAACGTGACGCGTTTTTTCGAAACTTTTCTTAACATACACACCATAATTTTTCTCTTTCCATCTCGCCCCGTGGCTCACGCAATTTTTTCGTGTTTATTATATTTCTCATTTTGTTCGGCTAACACGCAAATTGTCTTTACTACGTCGTTCGACTAGAACGACTGTTGCACCACTGACGTCATAACGCGATAATAATAATTACCCAATGAATCGCAATGCTACTGATAGTACAATGTAAAACACCCTTATCGGTTACCAGCTGCAAGTACGATATACGAGTATACAATAGAAATAGATGAAACTGTTACAAAGTCAAAACCTAAAGAAAACGCAAACGTTTGCGCGAGCGAGTAAATGAAATGGACTAAAATGAATCAACGAGTTCAGTAGTAGCCCGACAGAGGGCAATGAAACGAGCCAAATGCGAGTAACGAATATATTTCAAATCGGCTGCGTACGAAAAGCCGATGAAAAAGAGTCACGCCTCGCGAATTCAGGATTTCGTAAAAACATTAAAAGTCGTTCGTCTGCCTTTCGTTTTTAATCTAATAATCCGTCTCGTGACTGAACGGTTGAGATGCGATACATACGAGTGTGTACTGATGTGTTTTTGTATGAATGATCAGCGAATAACAATACGAACAACGATTCCCCGTACTGTCGTCGTACGTAAGAGCAGAGAGAGAAAGAATTGTTATCCCGGCAGTCCGGACAATGGGATCGCGACGAATTAATTAAATAAATAAAATCTATTTCAGTATCTCAAAGCACGCCGAGAGAGAGTGTCTAAAACCACGTAATCTCGTACGTCCGTTCAAAAGAAAAAAAGAAAGTAAATATAACGTTCCTTTTTTCTTCTTTCCCTACGTCGTTCGAGCCTCCACGTCTTTTTTTCTACGATATCCTTTTTTTCCTGTCTGCGTGTCTTACGTCGTTTTTGGTAAAAGCACTTTTTCTTTTCTCTCTCGTTCGTCCTCTGTCTTCTCCACTTTGTATTTAATTTCACTTTGTGTTCCTTGCGTTTTTCTTTTTATTTTTCGTTTTCTCCTCCCACACACTCGTCTTTCTCCTCGCAATCAGAGCAAACGGCAAAAATCAATGACGATACGTTGGAAAACATATTGTATGCGATACGCGTGTATTGTTTATTATAAAGTACCTAGTTTCTCGTATGATTATACCATTTTTTTTTCTCTTGATCAACCTTACATGTATATTTTTTGTTTAACTTTCTTATTAATGCTTTATGTATAAATATGTATTGTTAAGCCGCGCAAACCTCGTTTGTTTAAAGTCCTTGTTCAGCAACAAACAGACGTTTGCGCTCGCGCGGCACTCGGCGGCGGCGGCGGCGGCGCTATTCCTGTTTTTCTTTTATACCCCTCTCCCTCCTTATCGCCCCCTCTCTCTCGCTCTCTCTCTCACACATTACACATACATGCACACACTCTCTCTTTCATTCCAACCACTTTGTCCACCGTCCTCCTCAATCGTCAACCCCCCCC